TCTAAATTGGTTATTTATTAGACCCTGGCCCTGCAATCAATCACACCAATGTGGTGGTAATTGTTGGAAATTGTTGTAGTTGGTGCCTTTCACAATTGGGGCATGGTAAGGGTGCTTTCAGGTTTCCCGTGCCCATAGTAATGGGGTCCCCCAGCAAAGCTCCTCAAAACGCTTCCAGAAAAATGCACCAAGCACAATCTCCACCTTGAAACTGAAGATGCTCGAAACATATTTTCAGAAAAGCCACCCTGAAACCCCCACTCCCATCTTTTGACACCAGGCTGCAGCTGGGTGCTGACGGCGTGAAGGAGATGGTGCCCATTCGTCCTGTGTCGGTGCTATCTGGTGCTCTTGAATGCCATCCCGAAAAGATGTACCAGTTGTTCTGGGAGTTCCATGGTTCCACTGGGGTGTTTTGAGTCACACTCAGGGGTGATGTGTGATTCTTTGAAGCCATGAAATCATGGCTGGGCCCAGACCCAGGAGGAAGCAATCAATCAACCAGTGTGCCTCTGATGCTACAACCCAGCGGCCTTCCCAACTTGAAAACGGTTTCAATTTCGATGTTCTGCCTTCCTTGGTGGCCTGGGGCAATCCAACATTCAGAAACCGGCAGAGGTGAAAAGTCATCTCAGCGCACCCTCTTGGGAACCAATCAGCGATTGGATGGCAACACTGTGCTGAGGTAAGCGTGGCTTGACATCAGCTGGCCCAAATTGTGGTATTTGGTGTTGTCTTGTGGCCAATCATGGATTCATCGAGTGAGTCAGGGGCCCAACCTGGTGATGGAGCTGCTGGGAATGTTCTAGTGCGGCCCAAGTTCAATGTGAAGGACTATCAGGATCTACTTGGTCCTGGTTCTCTGCGGCCGCCGCATCAGCAGCAGCAACCATCATCCTTACCTGCAGCAGGCCGCAGTCCAAAGACACACGGAAGTGGCTTGTTTTGATGGATCCTGTGGGCTTTAAACAGAAGTTTGGAGTGACCCGTCCATGGATCCCTGTTAGGGGGTGGGAAATTAGAATGGTTTATATCCTGATGGAACCCTGTCTGGGGGTTCAAAAGAAACCAAGAGAAGCTTTTGTTCGATGAATCTGTGTTTGGGGATGGTGCGAAAAAAACCGTGTGTCCTTTGGTTCGATGGGCCCCTGTTTGGGGGTTAAGACATCAGGAGGGCCTTTTTCCATATGCATCCCTGTATGGGGCTGATGTTGAAAATCAAGTACCCTTCTTTCGATGGATCTTTGCATTGGGCAAGATATCGGGAGTGTCCCTTGTTCGATGGGTCCGAATTTTGGGATGGTTTGAAAGAAAGGTGGGATTGCCCTTTTTGATGGGTCCTTGGTTTAAAAAGGAAATCAGGAATGCCCTTTTCTCGATGGATCCCTGTGGGAGTGTCCTTTTTGATGGATCCTTGTTAGGGTTCTCGGGGTGGTCTTAAATGGGAACTGAAAACGTTTTGCAAATTGTGCAGGGGATGGTCCTGTAGTTTTCCCCTCCCGGAGGCTCTTCTAGCTCTTTGGCAAAAGTGGTGATGCACAGCTCATCCGAGTCCAAAGAAGCAGAGGAGCAGACTGAGAAAAAGGACAAGAAAGAAAAGAAAGCAGAGAAGAAGGAAGGGAAGGAGAAGAAGGAAGGGAAGGAGAAGAAGGAAGGGAAGGCTAGTAAAGCGAAAGACAAAAAAAACACTCGCACAGAAGGTGATGCTTTCGACAGTGTGTTTGATGATCTTCGGGGAGATGACTTCGACGATGAGGGTTCACATGGTGGGAAAGACGACACCAAGAAGAAGCGGAAAACTGAAAAAGCAACCAAGGAGAAGGCAACCAAAGAAGACAAGCCACGCGCAAAGCGAGGCAGGAAGCCAACCAAAGAAAAGAAACATGGAGAAAGCCAGGGTGGCGATGATCATGATGATGACAGTGATCATGGGCACGGCGCTGATGATGGGGAAGATTCCAAGACCAAAGACGAGAGCACCAAGGAAAACATCGCCCCAAAGCTTTTGCGGAAGAATGCGGCTGAGAACCTGAACCTCGACCAGCTCTGCACCCCTACCCGGACACCTTCGAGCACGTGCACTTTGCAAGAACTTGGCAGTCTGGCAGACTCCGAGGACTTTTGCGCAGTATGTCAATTTGAATCGACAGCTTTGAATCATAGTAGGTGTGTTCTTTCACCTCACGCTGACCTTGCCCTGCTTGCCATTTCAGGAGCGGATCTCCGCGCGCGATGAGTATGGCGACTCGCAGGAAACACTGCGACTTGGCGAAGATGGTGAGCCTCCACTGCAGCCAGTTTATGGACCGCTACCCCCCCCTGACGGCATCAGCAATAAGCGCCTCGATGAGATCATCTTGTCGGACAGTGATGCAGAGGCTTCGGATGACCAGAAAAAGAAGCAGGCGCAAAATGATAACCCAGAGGACCAGGGCCAGCAGGTGGATGCCACGCAAGAGGTGCCAACAATGCAGGATACAAAGCCAGTAGTGGATAAGACAAAGGCAGCGCCAAAACGTGCAGCGAAAGCGGCAGCCAAGCCAGCTTCAAAAAAGAAGGCAGCAGCAGTGAAGTCGGCGCCAGCGAAGAAAGGGAAAAACAAAGAAGTGCCAGCGAAGAAAGATGCGAAGAAGACCAGGCATGTTTTTTTGGTGTTTGCCACTCGCATTTCAAGCTACCAATCAATTGCCTTTGAACTGTTATGCAATGTTCACCTATGGAAGCCCTGCTTTGTTTTTAAGGTTAATCCCTTCCCCCTAATATAACCCCCCCGAAAAAAAAAGCACGGGAAAAACATGTTCAGCTTTCGGAACTTCAGGGCATTTGGAAGCAGCTTTGTTTTAGTATTGGTTTTCAATAGGAATGTACTCCCCCCTTTCCGGGCACAAACAAGCTTCCAAATGATTGTTTTTTAAGTAAGGGATTTAAATGGAAACGGCGACCTTTTATTTTCCGGGAATCCTGTTGTTTGAGTGTTGTGTGTTTGAGTGTGGGCGAGTGTGGGGAAAAAGTACCCCTAATACGGCTGGTTTGGAGGACGAACGGGAAAATGGATACGTCAGAATTGGTTTAGTGCTGGCCTATTCTAAAAGTAGTATTGCCCCGGATTTGAAATTCTGTAAAAACAATCTTATTATTAGGGAGACCTTTGTTATTAGGAAGAAGGGATTGAACGCAATCAGGCAAACACTCAACTCTGTTGTGACCCCAGGAAGCCAAAAGAAGACCCGAACAAAGGTCGCAACCGGCACCAAGTCTACAGCCGGGAGTATCACGCTTGCCGCAGGAAAGGCCTTGAGAAGGCAAAGGCAGCACAGCTTGCCAATGAGTACTGTGACTCTCATGAGATTTTTGTCTAGAAGGAATCTGTCCCATTAGGCATTTCAGGGGGGGTGTGATGCTGGAAGCAGGTTTATCAAATCTACGGCACTTGTTTGGGAAAACAACACCCTTTTATATAAATGAACTTTTTGGCACACCAGGGGAACAAGTTTTGACCCACAAACACGTTCCTGACTTAATCTTATTAGGTGCAACGCTCTATCTGGCATCACATTCCACATAGTTGCTGTCAAGGCGCAGCACCCGGGGAATCGTCTCGCCACAAAAGGGCGAAGCTGCCAGCTGCCAGCTGCCCATCATGGGGTTGTGTGTTGCTTCTTTGCATGTTGCTACTCGGTGTTCTTGTTGTTCGTTGGTTGTGCCACTTGTTCTGGTTTGTTCTTTGCTGCCTGTAGTTTGTTTTTTGTTGTGTGCGTGTGTCTATTTGTTGTTGCACTGTGGGGCATGGGTGTGTGTGTGTGTGTTATGTGTGCTGTGCGTGGGCACGGGTATTGTGCGAGTTTGTGTTGTGTGGTGTGAGTCTTGTGGGTGCTTTGTGTGTGTGTGTGTCGGTGTGTGTTTGTGTTGCGCGGGTGCATGGGCTGTTTGTGCGTTGTGTTGTTGTGTTGTGTGTGCGAGTTGAGTTGTGTGTATTTGTGCCCCTTGGGCCTGAGCATCAAGGACCTGAATGCATTTGGGCTAGGTTCTGGATAGCCTGGGTTACTTTTTATTGTTATGATGATTCTGATGATGAGGATTGTCTACTGCTACTGCTACTGCTACTGCCACTGCCACGCCACTGCCACTGCCACTGCCACTGCTACTGCTACTGCTACTGCTACTGCTACTGCTACTGCTACTGCTGCTGCTACTGCTACCACTACCACTACCACTACCACCGCCACTACCACTACCACTACCACTACCATTCTTACTGCTACTACTACTACTACTGCTACTACTACTACTACTACCACTACCACTACTCCTACTGCCACTACTACTGGTGATGTCGAAACCACCACCGCCGCCACCACCACCAACAGCACCAGCACCAGCAGCAGCACCAGCGCCAGCAGCAGCACCAGCGCCACCACCACCACCACCGCCATCACCACCATCACCGCCATCACCACAGAAAGGCGCCCAACTTGGATTCCCTATTTGAAGAACCAATGACTGCTGGGGTGTTTGTCCTATTGTCCAACTGCCGACTCACCACAGTCAACACCATCATCCCATGTTCATCATGATCATCACCACGATGTTGTCATTGACGCCAGCACGTCGTCAGCCCAATCGCCACTCTCACCACCACCACCACCACCACCGCCACCACCATGATCGGTGCTGGTGCTACTGCTGCTGCTGCTGCTGCTGCTGCTGCTGCTGCTGCTGCTGCTGCTGCTGCTGCTGCTGCTGCTGCTGCTGCTGCTGCTGCTGGACAGTGACGGTGGCAGTGACACTTTTCATGGTGATCATCTTTATGGTAATGGTGATGGTAATGGCGAGGGTGATACTGATGCTGATAGTACTGGTAGTGCTGATATTCTGACGATGGGTCGCTATGATGATGTGAAGCGGGTGAGAATAATGATGATACACAGGGCCAATCAGGGCCAATGACGGAATATATCTCTAGTGCTCTCGCTCGTTTGGCTGCTTTACTTGCGCATGGCCTCTCCGGAGCACCGCGCCCGCTCTTGCCACGACCAACGCCTTTAGCCGGCTGTTGCGCCTGGCAGTCTGGCGCACCCCCGTCCCACTCGAAAACATAGTACGAAGCAGAATGCATAAGCGTCGATGCTAGAGCCTTTGCAGTCGCAGAATTGAGAGTCGGCGCTTCCATGACATAGGAAAAGAGAAAGTATTTTGCCAAATACATACATCTCAAAAAGCATTCGAAACGATTGGCTGTATCTCCCAGCTGCATGCTGAACTTGGCCTGCTGCTTGTTTGCAGTGGCAGCTGCAAAGGCGCTTGCCGCCAAGCGAGACTTTTGAAGCCTTAGTGGCTGCGTGCGGCAAATCGGGCTGCCTTGCGGCAAATCGTCAATCACAACTGCTAACAAGTTTCAGGACATCGGCTGACCGGGCAAATCATGGAATGCATTGCTCTGACAGCCCAGCAAATGAGTAGATTTCATCTAAGCACCGGACTCGACGGGATCTGTTGGTGGTCGGCGACGCACATCCCCGATATCCTGGCAAAAAAGAGCAGAAACTAAAACAAGACCGAGCGTGCTGAGCAAAGAACATGCAGCATGCAAGCAATGTGTTAGGCTCAAGGTGCAGAGCCGATTACGAATGCACGTCGGTGTCTCCTTCTTTGCAGAAGTTGGTTGGACCTGGGCTTTCGCAACAACCAACTTCCATGTGCACAACATGTCTGGCCTTGAGGTGCCGCTGCCGGCTCCACCAGTTTCCGTGGTGGTGCCAAGCCCTTAGCCAGTTGCAATACGTTCAGCCCTCCAATCGGACTCAAAAAATGGGTGTGACATCCGCAGAACTTGAACCTGGCTAAGCACATGGCTCCACCTCCTGCCAGTTGCTCATTGTTCAAGACTCAGAGAGAATCCAAGCCATCTCAGAAGTCCACGATATCGACGACATCCATGCAAATATTACACAGTGTGCAAAGCCGCTCCTGGGCCTTCGGCTTGTCATCCTGGATCTTGTCACCTTGCGTCAATGAATCAATCCAAAGCCCGTCACAAGGCGTGTCCGTTCGCACTGCAAGTCATTGATCTCTCCCCATTGAGAAGCGAGCTAGGCCTGTCAACCTGTCGGACGGGGGTGTCTCGCATGGTAAATCACAGGCCGAATTTTGTCAACAAGGCCTTGCTGCGTGTTTACAAAAAGGACTCATCTAGCGACTTCTTCTGGTGTAGCAAGCTTCAAACACGTTGACAGCGCCTCTGGAACCAAGTTTGCGGGCAGCGGTGCTGGACTTTACGTGCTGGCTCAAGCAGCTGGCAAAAGCAATGAAGAAGGATGGTGTCTCGACCTTATATTTACTTTGCCTGGGGACGCCCCAATCGCCGGCCAATCGCGATCCAATCGCGATCGCACAAATTCCAATCGGATCGCTGCTGTTTTTGTTTCGCTTTTCGCTGTCTTACCTCAGCTGGCCTTCCTCCATTCGTACCGGGAACTGGAAGTCACATAGCTCGGATGGGCAGGGCCTCACTGGTGAAAATCGTCCAATCGCCGTCCAATCGCCGTCCAACCGCGGTCCAATCGCGGAATTTGGCGGAGAAATTTCGGATTGCAGCTTCCAGCCTTTGCCAGTAAGCAGATTTAGAAAGCACAGCCTGGACTTGCTCAGGCGAAATCAACATTCAGCTGTCCAGGAGAAACTTTTGTGCGAGCCCGTGCAGTCAAAATGAGCGAGACGTGCGTCGGCACCCCAATCTAAACACCATGCAGCGTCTAAATTCACAATAAGTTCGTTGCCCTTTCGCGGTCCAATCGCCGGCATTTCGCGGCTCGAATTGTCCCAATCGCGCGGTTCAACAAGTTGCCGCTGTTCATAAGTTTTAGACATGCAATTACGGACGGCCCCCATATACAAACAAGAAATACACGCAATAGTTGAAGAGGTCAATGGGCCAATGCAAAGGTGCTTGTTGAACTTGAGTGGCAACTGTGCACTGCCGGCTGAGCGAAAGGTGGGAGGGAGGGAGTGAGGAGGGGCGACACCAACATTCAATAGCAAGTCAAAGAAGTTAAGCTTTGGATGCTACTATAGTGGTGATAAGGGTTCCTCAAATCATGGGACTGCAACACCTGCATTGTTGGCAAAAGGCTCTTGCAGCCTGTCCAATGAAAAAGTTGCACGAGTTTGTCTTGGAGGACTTGCGCTGACAAGCTTCGCGGTCCAGACTTGTCAGTAAGACCCTGCAAAGTCAGCTCTGCGTGTTGAAGCTTCGATGGGCCTGTTCGACCAAAAACCGCAAGATCTATCCAGCGTTCCTGCAACCGTAGTTGAGTCTTTCCTTCGAACGTTTGCTTGGCTCTTCCAGGGCGCTTCTTTCTATATATCCCCTCGGGCTGCAATACTGTTCCCCCTTAGCTTGGCTCTCCATATGACCTGAAAGTGTCGGCATGTGATACGTCTGTTGCGCTCAGATGAACTGTATCATTGTAGTCTCCCACAGAACTAGTCGCCAACGGAAGTTCCCGTCCAATGGACTGGCTTCTCGAGAGGGCAGTTGAAACGTAACCATAAACTCCTGATTGAAGAAATATGTGGCCAGTGTCTTGGGCATGATTGACCCAGCAAGCCAGTTCATAACATTGTGTAAGCCTTCGTGACATCTTCATCGCTAGGATCATCCTTGATGCTCACACCTGGCATGCCGTAGCTGCGGGCAACATGCCGGAATGTGCCCCTGACAACAGAGTCTTCTGCTGATAATCAAGGATGGGTCTGACAGGTCCGGAAGGCCGGCATTTGGCACATTGGGGTGAGTCAAGCAAGGCACGCGCCAGGAGTGCCAATGCCCAGATTCTGTGCCGGGATCCAGCCCTGCACGGGGCATTTGCTTTGCTTCCTTGCCTTTGCAGTGTCCTTTGTGACAGCAACAGAATAAGCAGCCCTGCCGCAGAGCCATTAGCATGTTTTCCCCGCCTGCTCCTGCACTGGCCAGCCTTTCCAACCGAAGATCCAATCCTGGCGGGCTCAAGACATGTACGACAGTAATATGTACTATATTCCTGTGTGAACTCCAGTATTTGCAAGCTGTGGGTAGGCCGCCATCCAGGGTCAAATGCACGAACTGGCCTTCAACCTACAGGCCCCTTCTGACAGCGTACTACAGCAAAGTCCTCGGATGCGGGATACCGCACCGTGACCTGCGCTGACATTTGAGTCTGTGCAAACCCTGCATAGTCTCATAGTTGCAAGCCAAAGCCGACCTTCTCGCCAGCTTTGACAGACATCTCGCCGAAGTCCCTGGAACTTGGAAGAAAGTCCACCAGGACGCTGTGGCACTGAGCGCAAGAATGGCATCGCAGGGCTCGGACCACTTTGCGCAACATTGGGCAAGTAAAACAAACAAAACTCCGCTGCAGAGCGCCATGACCACTGCTTTCAACCAAAAGAATATGTTTCCCGCCTTGACATCGCCAGGCTTGGATGACCCGGGTGATGTCTCATTAGCAGATTCAATCTGGCAGCGCTCAATCATCGTCCGAAAGCTAACATAAGCATTGGTTTTGGTAAATCATAATGTATATATAGTGTTGCAAAAGAACCCTTGGAGCATTCCACAATGACCAGTACAAGCTCTAGGTGACGTGCCACAGTGTTTTGCAATATCATCACGGGGTTTTACCCCAGTCACTGTTAAACCACAATGATTTTTGCATCGTGCAAGGTGGGTATGCAAAGGTGATGCCTACATGGCTGAAACACGACACGAGCGCTCACGCCTTGAAAGGCGGCTCAAGCTCTGGCCCTTCTGGCACTGGCACCAGCTCTCTGGTTGGAGTGCGAAGGGCTTGTGCATCGCGGTCGATTAGCCGCTTGAGCCTGGCAGGCTTTGCAGTCAAGCACTGAAGTTACTAAGTTGCTGAGATGCTCCTTGCATGGTTTATGCGGCACAATCGCCCGTCAAGCATGCAAGCGAAACTCCGCCAGGCGCAGTTCGGTCAGCAGCTCTTCCCCTGCAACGCTGAGTGGATCCATGGGAGTGCTGCTGCCCGTCGTATTTGCACTGCTGCAGGCCGCTGTAGATGAAGTCACGCCATTAAGCCGTCATGTCAAGTGTTCTAGACAACAAACAACCATTCGGTGGTCATGCACCAACATGAAACGTGGACTACGTGATTTGTCATTTCCCTGTCCGCCCCCTATCACGCAACTCCTTTGCCCTGACTTCCATCGCGGAGATCGCGTAAAACAATGCAAAAGACGTGCGGAGTCACACTCCCAAATCACGACGTGAGCGACGTCAATGCCTCTCTATTTATCTGTAGCCCATGTCATTCCCCTTAAAAAAGCAAACGCTAATACAGTATGATAAATATTCATTGACGTTCACGAGACATGGTCAAGTTTTGTTGTGCGCTCAAATGATGTTAGACATTAGGGAGTAACATGTTTCTGGTGTCAAGCATTCCCTTGACTACAAATCACTGAATATTGAAACCTCACACGCCTTTTACTGCAGCCTGGCTCTCTATCCAACACGCCTGCTTTTGGCTCGGAAGAAGGAAGAGCCTGACAGCGGCGAACCAAATCATCAAGTCAACCAGCCAATTGATACAAACAAAAAACAAACAGGCGAAGCATGGTGCGTATCGCAGGGTACATCAAAGTATGCTGCAGTGTGCAAGTTTGGACTGGACTAAGCCGCTGGCCACTGACTGAACTGCAGTCCCACCGCTCGCCATTGGCACCTGCGGCCAACAAAACACTGCCAAAGTAAGACAATTAAAGTGCCAGGCAGCTTGTTCCAAAGAAATGGAAGTGCGATCCACGAACTAGTTGTCTTGCAAATCGGATTGCTACGAACTCCACAACGACCAATGCACCACTGCACCACAAATGTTCAACGTAATACGTTGACATGCTCAGCGAGCAGCCTGTGTCACCTGCGACAAGGGAGCCTCTAGTGGTTCCAAGCTGTGCAGTGAACTTCAATGCAATGCGCCGACGCAGCTAAAGCCTTTGACCCTTGCATTTCAGTTTGAAGAAATACCATGCTGCCAAAGGCTAAGCAGGCGACGGCCGGCTGCACCGACGCGCCGGACTGCATCTTGACTTGAGTCATCATTATGGCCGAAGTGTCCGGCCACCTGCAACTGGCTGGACCGGCTGGACCCCAACATTCAACAGCACCAAAGGCGGTGCCTCGAGGAGCTATCCCAGGCAGAGCTCCCACACCACGAAGGGCCGGGAGCCCGTGGCCACTGCGCCTCCCATGTCCCGCTCCCAATCAATGCCCTTGACAAATGCTGAGCCTGTGCCGGCAGCTCAGAAGGCCAGGACTCTGTCGTCGATGGTGCCCACCTGTTCAGAGGCGCTCAAATAGCTTCGGCTTGGATGTTCCGCTGAATTAGACAAGGAACTCCTGCGACTGGTACTCCCAGCCACAATCCTCACACTCAAAGCTTCGAAACGCCTTCCTGACACTTCTGTTTGGGCTCCGCGCGTACGCGTCCACGGAGCATCGCTGTTGGTCATACGGCATTGCGTCGTAGACATCACCTGCCACGAAGCAAACGCTACGTCTTTCCAGCAGGAAACACCCTCCGCGTTTCGGCTGCACTCCGGGATAAATGGCCACGGCAGACTCCCCCATGACTGCTGCCACGACCAGCCGTCCCCCGCATCGTAAGATGGCATGTACCTCCACAAATTCCAGCTTCACACAACGGCGTCATGCCACTTCTTGGGGCACATGTCATTGTGGTACGCATTCATCATGTCAGCTGCACTTGTCCAGAGTAGAAGTGCAAAAGGCACGTGATCTTAAGTGTAGCGATGTTGCTTTCATCTTGCATCCGGATATGGAATGCCTCATGTCGGCCCACATCATTTGCGTTTCACGCTGCTTGACTGAAGTCACGTGCTGGAGCCGGTGAATGGTTTGCTGCAGAAACACGGATGAAGCTGATGAGACCTCCGAACATGCACATGACAAACAAACTTACATGCTGTCGACTTGCGAGCACATCCCTGCCTCCCTGAACCCGAAAAGGAAGATCATTGTCCATCTTTAACTGATTGTTCCTTCGTCTCACTTAACCTGTTTCTTGCTGTATGTTACTGTCTTCTTCTGCTTCCTATTCTCTTCTTGAAGTCCTCTCCTTCTTGCTCGCTTTGTTTGCCTGATCATGCACGCTTTCCAGCTGCACGCTTGTTTGCAGTACATTCCAGAAAAGCATGGAAACTGTCCAAATGATTCTGCGGTGCAAAGGACGATGCACGGTTTGTGTTTCTTCCTGCTGCGACAAATCCCACCATGATGCCTCACTCAGTTGGCAATTCCCATTCGTCCTCATCGACTGCCTGGAGATGGTGAGAAGCAAGCATGACTTTCGTAAGCATTGCCAACCGTGGCTCATCCAGGCAACAAACATCGCTGCCCCAACTGCGAAGCCAGTTGCACGAATGTGCAATGCATGGTATCACTTTCGCGCCTGCTGCAAGGCACCCGGCTTCTGACCATCCACAGTGCAGCCAACAGCGAAGCACGTGCCCAGAATCTGAGGGATGGCACAGGATGGACCGTCAAAAACCTAGCCATGAATCAGCAGAGTCAGGCCTCCTTTGCGGTGCCCTTGAACTCCTTGGCAAGGCTTTTTTTCCGCCTCAAGGCATTGCAGCACACAGAAGACGCGCTGCAAAGAAGTCCAAGCTTGTGGCATTTGTCGGCAAATGTCCAAGAAGGTTGCCTGACATGGTCTCTCCCGAGTGCAAATGACCGAAGACATGCACTGCAAATGTCATGTCGCATAGTGTCCTTGGTGAGATTGCCGCTATGCTTGATGTTCTTTGTCTTTTTCCTGTCTCGAAGAGGCTCCTTCCGCAGCACACCAGGAAGGCCAAACCTTCGAATCCTGAAGCTGTCCTTAAGCTGTCCTTAAGAGCCTTGATGATCAAGCTGGTGGCGTTCGGCTCCACGTCAACCTCTGTGACTGCATGCTAAGGATTCAATCCGAATGCTGCTCGTGTGGCAATCCTCCCTCAAAGAGAAGATGATCCACTCATTGCTGAGGAAAACTCCTTTGCTGCTCTGTTCTGGATGGTCAGCTTGACCTGAAATGGCGCCAGAACACCACACTTTATGCAGCTGACACCAAGAAGCCCTCACACAAGCGATAAGGTCGCAGCAGTCACTCGAATGCCCTTCCTGGGCAAAGTTGCTGGAGAAGAAAGTTAAGTTCATGACTCCATACATATGTTTGATATCATTAGATACACCCCTGGAAACGAGAAAAAGGACTGGAAGGCTCTTCTCGATGCAAGCCATGGCTCCACGCGCTGGTGCCCTTCACAATGTCATCACCTTGGGGTGAAGAAAAGGGGCCACACTCTACCAGCAAGGTTCTCAAGCCCCAGGCCAACTTTCTTGGGAGACATGCCCAAAGGCCCAACCTCCAACTACCCATCTGAAAGTTGCATGCTGTCCTGCTTCCTGCCTTCGGAGCCAACACTGATGATGGTGCCTGCCATGCAACACCCATGGACTTCCAGCTTCTCATGATGGTGCTGGATGTCCGCCCTTATTGGAGCTTGCAGCTGTTCTACAAGTGTGTCACTGTTTCACGATGCGTGCGGCAAGACCGTGACTCCAACTGTGAATATCCAATTGCTATGCTGACAAATTCCCAAAGCATCAGGCTTTCAGAACTGCAACGAACGTCGAACGAGGTCGCTCTTCCTTGCCTGCTCGCCACCATACCTTACCACCCCAATCGCTGAATCAATCAAAGAAGCAACGAACAGAATGCGATGCAAGGGCAAGGAGCAGAGCAAGGTGCACTAGTGCCACTAAGAAGCTGCCGCAGGAAGACAACCTTTACCTCATTGGGGTCAAACTTCGGCGCCATGTCCTTGCAAAGCACAACAGCTTGAACATCGACATCAGCTCTCAATCTGTCTTCAAGTCAGCATGCAGCCCTCCAGGCAACACCTTAAGAGGCTTGCTCCGGTGCGGGGAAGTCGCAGCAGCTACTAACCCTGAGCCAAGCCGTCCAGAGAAATATTGCTTTGAAGTGCAAAGCAAACGTGCTTCGACATTGCTTCACAGCTACTTGCGAGCACGCCACTTTATCTGGCAAATACTCACACGTTTCTGTGCCCGCCCTCGGCATTTCCCTGCGCTCCCATGCGCTCCAGGAGTTGGCATTGCATTGTGGAGGTGCAGGTCAGAAAGTAAAACAGGCCGGAAAAGGGCCCATTCAGAATTAAAACATCATGCAACCGAGGTATCTCAGTGTCCATGAATTGTCCTGCTTGCCACCTCTGCGGTGACGCGCAGGTCTTTGTACAATGCCAATTACCGCTTGTTCTCGTCTCCCGGGCCAGGGAAGAGTTGGGCCACCCGTAGACGGATCTGGCCAGCTCTTGCGCAGGCAACTTGCTTTTTTTTGGGGGAAGTGTCTTGCAGTTTGCAGCTTGCAGCTGGCATGAAACCCGAAATCGTGACTGCATCTCGTGACAGGCCTCGCTCTGTGGCATAAGTGGAAGCCGGCCAGCTACCTGCCGGGCCAGGCTTCATGCCACTGCAGCTTGCTTCAAGAAGCACGCCTCCTCCCAGAAGGCCCTTTGCTGGGAGTTCAACCTTCGGCGATCTTTGCATTGACTGTTCGAAGTGACATGCATGGCACGATTGGGCCAGCGCCTACACCAAATCTCTTCAGGTGTAGTCTTGTATTGTCGCAACACGCTCCGAAATCTGGCAAGGAGTTGCGACAGTTGGTCAATGTCTATGCATACTTGCAATCATTTATAATCTTGCCGGTCGGGCTCAGTGCTAAAAACTCGACGTGCATCCGGAGTGCCTCCGAAGCAATCCATGGGAGCCCTTTTGCAATGATGCAGTATGCCGACCTTCTGGATACAGCTGGTGGAAGTCAGTCCTTCGCATGAACAAGCTTGACGAGATCAGAAATGGGCTAAAAGCAGCCCGAGCTCATGGCAACCACGCATAACAGCATCAAAAAGCTTCCCCAGTCATTTCGCATGGCCAGTAGTCGAAGCCATGCAGCGACTGGTCACCCACTGCAAGGTAGCTTACCAGCGGCCAGGATTGGCGCAGTTTCAGCAAGGCTGACCTCAGTGCTCAGAGACGGGATGGCTGAAACCAAGGCACGCTAAGGCTCAAGCAACGGAATTGTTGCTGAAAAAGACGAAGGCACCTTGCAGACGCCCCAGCACTCTCCTGATTAGAGGATGTGAGCCAGTCAAAGAGAATATTCTTTTGACGGGTCATGGGAATTCGGTTAGTAAATCAGTTCCTAAACTTATCCTTTGACCCAAAGGATAGCCATTGCTGGGAGCCGGAACAGAAAATCGCAGCGCCACGGTAACCAGGTTCTGCAAGGCCTCCACAAAGTCAAAGCACAGATTGAACTGTCCGTCACAGTCAAGGATGGCTTCAAACACCTTGCGCATTGGGTTTGCACCAAGATGTGCACACGAGCGTGCAAAGGCTGTTGCCCAGGATTTTGTGTTTATTGGGTACAAAGAAGAGGTTCGGTTTGGTTATCAGCACAGCCAGCAATATCAACCTGAACTCACCTGTACTGACTTTGATGACCAAATGCGGTTACAGTTCAAGGTTACCTTGAACCGCATTTTCTAGAACTTGGAGATAACATGAAGCTACCTCGCGGTTTGCTACTCGCTTGGATATTTTGTGGTAGATAACTGTTCTTTCTTCTCCTTGCATCCTCCAATTCTGGTTGGACCTGGAAACCAGCCGACACGAACCAACAGCTACTTGGAACTGGCACCGCGGGAATTTTGATGGGTGTTGGCCTACTTGTAGCACATACTTGGCTGCGGTTCAAGCATTGCACTGCCAATTGCGCATGACCCCCATGCCAAAGCAATCTCAAGCCTTCATGCCGCAACTGAGATGCGCCAAGGCATTCAAAGATTTTACGATTAAAAAAGCTGGGGTAGGGTGCCTGAAGGCCTTCCAGCAAGGCAGCAGTCTCCTGCGGCAGCAGCAAATGAAGAGCTTCAGGCTGCCAAGAAATCCACCTACCACTACCCAGTCCTGCGCACTCCCATCAATGCGGATGCCATTCAGTGCCAGAACCTCTGCCACATTCCGAGCTGCCAAGCAGGTCGAGCCAAGCTGAGACCCCAGCACGAAGCTTTGTTGGCTCCCTGAGGCTCTTCAAACATCGAAGCAGCGGAGCTGCCAGTACCTTCAAAGATGCAAGCTAAACGCTCCAGCGTCAACACACCTCGCTGGCCTGCATTCTCTCCTGACGAGAAGCCTCAAGCAAGTATGGTTGCTGCAAAAATGTATATGCGCTTGCCTAGGAGCCTGGCTCTTTGTTCTCTAAAGTCACGGTATCGCAGCATCAAGCACCTGTTGTGCAACAAAGCATTTCGAATTTCCACAACTTCGATTTCCGAGCATGGTTGTTTCTAAGGCCTTGACTCCAAGTTAGGGCCGAATGGCAATGTAAGTGGCTCCTTTCTGCTTTCAGGACCTGGGACGCAATCAAACACCATTGCGCAAAAGCGCCTCAACCAGGCCTATGAAAGACGCTCTGCAAATCCGCCTGGCATATGTACACACTTACGCAATCTCTCTGCGCGTGTGCGCGTGCGCGTGTGCGCGCGCGTGCGCGTGCGCGTGCGCGTGCGCGTGCGCGTGCGCGTGCGCGTGCGCGTGCGCGTGCGCGTGCGCGTGCGCGTGCGCGTGCGCGGGTGCGTGTGCGTGTGCGTGTGCGTGTGCGTGTGCGTGTGCGTGTGCGTGTGCGTGTGCGTGTGCGTGTGCGTGTGCGTGTGCGTGTGCGTGTGCGTGTGCGTGCGCGTGCGCGTGCGCGTGCGCGTGCGCGTGCGCGTGCGCGTGCGCTTGCGCGTGCGCGTGCGCGTGCGCGTGTGCGTGTGCGTGTGCGTGTGCGTGTGCGTGTGCGTGTGCGTGTGCGTGTGCGTGTGCGTGTGCGTGTG